GGGGGGGGGGTTTGGGGGGGGGGGGGGGGGGGGGGGTTAATATGTAAGTCACCCATGAGCCACATTTTGCCTTGATATTTAAGGAAACATCTGCCAGATTCTGATTGCCTTGGATCCATACACTGCATCTCTCTCCCCCCATCCATCACTCCCCACTGAAGCAACAGCCCCTTTTGGTAGGACCAGGGCTGCATTTTCCCTCTTCCCGCTAGCCCTGCATCTCGGGGAGAACTCCCCATCAGCCAAAATGAATCGTGTCTATAGAAGAAGGTTTTGCACAGAAAATGTTTATAACATTCCTCAAGTTCATTTGGGGTCACATTTTGCTTCTATTAAAGAAAAAAAACAAACCCAAATCACTAAGTTTTCAAGCGTAGGGGGACTAGGATTTCACTTTAAACCCGTGGTCCTCCAAGACTGATGTGTATAAGGGAGATGGTGAAGTACATTTGAACACCCATGAAGACCCCATGCACTGCATGGACTGGGTACACCTGAAACTATAACTGTATGGGTTTAAAAACAGAAGTCAGTACAGCCCCTAGCAGGCATGCATTTATACAAGTCAATATATCATCATCATCTCCTCCTAGGTGCCTAAATCCCTTTTGAAAAAAAAGGGGACTTGTACTTCAGAATATTTTACTCCAACACCCAAACCTACCACCCTCACACTCAAGTGGCATCTTTCTAAATTAAAAGGACTTGCGAAGGGTTTTTAAACCCGAAAGCTTGCTATAATTTCCACCCCTCACCCCCAACTATTTAATTTGGTCTAATAAAAGATATCAGATTCATCCAAAGAACCTTGTCTGCCTAGGTCCCGAGACCAACACGGCTACAACTTGCACCCCTGGTTAAGATCTTGCCAGGCATGGTTCTTTGGGTAGATGTGATATCTTTTATTAGACCAACTGAGTAGTTGGAAAAAAAAGTTCTTAGCAAGACCTTGGTTAAGCTCTTGCCAGCTCAGTAAACGTTTGCCACGGCACACTGCCTTTTTTCATGGACTAGAAGGGTATTTGGGTTTTTCTACAGTGAAAGACAGTGGGGTTTAATTTGTGATTCTGTGCTAAGTATTACAGTAGAATTAGGAATGAAAGTGAAATGCAATCCAACCCCCTTTAGAAATACAATAATTTAAATTAGAAAAGTGCTAGTAAAGACATAAGAAGGCAAGGTTCTTTGGGTAGATGTGATCTCTTTTATTTACCAACTAAATCGTTGGAAAAAAGTTCTTTGCAAGCTTTTGGCACCAACACCCTTTGCGCCCAAGAGCTTGCAAAGAACTTTTTTCCAGCTATGTAGTTGGTTTAATAAAGGAGATCACATTTACCCAAAAGAACCTGGTCTGCCGATGTCCTTGAACCAACACGGCTACAACCTGCACCCCAGGAAAGAGGGATGCCGCATTTCCACCTGTAGCCGCTCTGCATAATCCTTTGCAGCACTAGAGGGTGCTACCCTCTTGTTTGTAGAAGAAAGAGAAATAAGCAAGTTCGTAGCCTCAGGATGGTAACGACACTGCTTCGATTAATTGTTCTCAGATGTAAAGCTTTAAGAACAGACTCCCTAGTGTTGCATTTCAGGTGCTACAGTAGAAACAGGAGCAGAGGCAGCTTGTGTTTGACAAGGACTTGCAGATAGGAGCTTGGCAAGGTAACAACCAAATTCTGTTTGGTTTTCCAAAAGGCCAGGCGTCATTGCTTTTTGCCATGAGAGCCTTTCCCTGCGGTGGTCTTTCCCTTACACCTGTAGTGCCCAGAGGAGGGGGGCAGCTGCGAAGCTCCAGGGACTAGGCAAGAAGCCAGGACGGGCCAATAAAAGACATTGCCAAACAAAAAGTGTAGCTGGCAGAGGTGTTGCGCATGCTTTTGGGCACTAAATGCCCTTCCTCAGGTCTGGGAAAAATAGCAGTGGAGCTCATCTGAGGAGAGAGAGAAGTCACAGGTTTACTTTGTATTTAGTTTACCAGTCCACAATACTGACTTGTACCCCCTCCATCCATGGCTCTGGGCCGGTTAGCTTGTGGCAAGTGTGTGTTGTCACTGTGCAACTACCACACATCATAGAAAGTAAGGGCTGGAAGGGACCCTGGGAGGTCACATCTAGTCCAACCCCCTGCTCAAAGCAGGACCAGCCCCAACTACATCATCCCAGACAAGGCTTTGTCTACCTGGGTCTTAAACACCTCCAAGGATGGAGAGCCCACCACCTCTCTGGGGTGCCTTTTCCAATGCTTCACCTCCCTCCTAGTGAGAAGGTTTTTCCTAATATCCAAACAAAAATCTCCCGTGCTGCGACTCAAGCCCATTGCTCTGTTATCTGCTGCCTAGGCATGTCAGCTGCAGACCCGAGCGCGATGCAGGGTTGCCTGAGGAGAGCCACATCCAACCTGTCAACTGACCTTGGATCAGCCGCGTGTGTCAAGGGATTTAGACACAAGCATACGAAATTCAAGGGGACAGAAAGAGTGGGCAAAGCAAATCCCAGCATTCAGCAGCCAGACACTGCGAAGACAAGGGGAGAAAATATTCAGAACCGCCTGGATGCCAGCAAGAGAGGAAAAAAAAGAAATGGCCCGTCTCATGAATTATTCCAGTTTTGCTCTTTACCTGAAGTTTAACATCAAGGGAGGAAGCCTAGCAGGATTGTTGCCTTCAAGTTGCACTTACACACATTTAAAGTTGCAAGTGTGTATCTTTGTAATAATTGGGTTGGACTGATTGCTGACACTGGCAGAAAATAGGAAGGCTGCCCTTGACTACGGCACCCGTAAGTGCTTCTGTCTAACTTCAAGCGATTAGAAAAATGAGACTTTTAGCCCAGCTTCTTTAATTATATGTAGCAAGGATTCTATAGGGCTGTGCTGAGATTTTGCAGGGGCAGCGGAAAGTGATTTAATAAATAGCCGTGGCATGCTGTTTTAATAGGAAACCATACTGGATTGTGTGCATCTAGAGAGGCGGTAAAATGCCATTTATCAGAATAGAAAGGAGGACGTGAAACGTAACCACTCAAGTGGCATTCTGAATGCAGGGCGCTTTGATGCCAAGGGTACAGTCAGGCAATAGCCACAGCTGGGAGAACAAGAGGATGCTGGAGAAGTAGGATTCATTTAAATGGGGTTCTGCTTGCTGTCACTCCTGGCGTACGAAGGGTTTTAGGTGCATTTGCAGTATTTTCATGGGCAATTTGCTCGCTGGGCACATATTCACCCTTCCATACACAGACTCAGGCCCTGGGCTAAGCCTGCCACAAAAAAACACTTCCATGCACACGGTCTGCCAAGATGTTCCTGAAACTGTTTGAAGACAGGAGGTGCAGAGCCCAGGCAACACTGTCACTCGCTTTGGTGGAACAGCTTTGGTCCCAGGGACGAACATGACCCTCACCTTCAACTTATGTTCAAGAGAAATGAAAGAGGATGCTGCCAACATCTCCAGTACCGGAGGGAAAGTACGAATTGATGCTTCCGACGTGTACAAGTTTGGAGGCATCCCCGGAGACTGCCACCCGGTTGCATCCTGGAGGATCTCCCTACCGATACCCGATCAGTGCATCAGCAAACAAAGGAGTCTTCATCCTGTCAAAGACTGACTATGGAGAATCAGTACTGGGATTTGCAAAAGTTGAGACCCAAACCCCTCTGCATATCTGGGAGACGTGGATGTAGATCCAGATTGTACCTGGAGTTTGCAGGCAGGCCTGTTTCTATTGGCAAGGGACAAGGACCCACTTCTGACCTTTGTTTCTAGCAATGACGCAGCTCAAGGTAAACACCTGACCTGCTTGAATAGGCAGATCCATCCACCTGAGCGTTTTAAATAGCCCAGAGCTTATTGCTGGCAAACATTACCTCACTGATACAACAACAGACAGAAACCCTGGATTAGGTAGTAGCAGCAAGAGGCACACCTAGAACAAGAACAGGTTTTCCCTGCTCAGAAGTGAAAGCATCAGTTCAAGGCCAGTACAAGGTTTCTCTCCTGTGACCCCATGGAGGAGTCTCAGTGGTCCACACAGAGAGGTGTGGGCAATGGGGGAGCAGACACTGTGCAGATAGAGCCTGGCAACTGCTGAACAAGGTTGGAAAGTTTTATTCTCTTATGTCCTCGGTGGGTCTGATCCGCTAGGCACAGCCCAAAGAGAACGGGACTACAGACACTTGGTAGTTCTACTTTTTCCCCCATCCACACGTCACATATGTTAGTGCTGAAAGGGAAGAGCAAACCCCCTTGTTGTTCCTTGTGGTGGAGACACCCTTTCCCCCCTGTGCACGTACAGCGCCTAGCACACCGCAGGGGCTGTCAGGTTTCATGCAACAGAACATCAGCCTAAACCCTGATCTAGCAAACTGGCCCTTTTCAGCGCAGCACTACAGCAGCATGTCGGCGTGAGGATGGGGTCTGCCTCATGCTGCAAGGCACTGCGGACGTGCACACATCCAGCTGTGCACCTTTTGGCTAAATAAAGCTGCTCCAGCACCTGCAGTTGCCTAAGGACACTCTGCACACACCCACCTCACTTCTTGTGGGCCTGAGCTGGGGAAAGGAAGCTCATCAGTACGGTGCGCAGAGGAGTTGGAGGGCAAGGGGTCCCCTGGTGCGTCCTAGAGATTTCTTGACAAGCGCTGCATCCTGGAGGCACAGCTAAGAGATGTGTACCTCTGAGTACAGGCTTCTCCACCGTTACCTTCCCTTTGACTGGCTCTGAAAGTGTTGGCTTCTTTTTTTTTTTCCCCTCCTCCAGTCGGTTCCTTATTAAAGATGCAGAAATCAGTCTCCGAAATCCTTCAGAATGGAGCCTTGACCAAAAATGGTGACTGATGCCATCTCTCTGTTCTTGCTTTCCTAGGAAGAGGTGAGCCTGCCTGCAGAGATGCAGAAGAGGGATATAGGAGCCATCTCGAGAGCATAAAGCAAGCGTCTCATGTCTTGGCTCTCAAGCTGCAGGTACAGCATGCACCCGACGTACATGAAAGCTTATGTCTAGCTCCTCTGTATGAATTAGAGTCAGGTAGGCCAGGCATGCTTGCACGTGGCCTCTGTTTTTGCACTGCTGTCACAGATTGGCTCCTAATGACATCTCTACCCTAAGCAGCTGCCATTTGCAAAGGGATTTGTAGCCCAGCAGGCCAGGCAGAATAGCCCCTACGGAGCATGAGGTTTTCTGCAGCAAAAGGCAGCGCCCTGCCCTGCTGCTACTGGAACCAGTGCAAGCACTGGTGCCGACTTCAGAGCAAGCAGGATCACTCCTGGAAACAAGCACGCCATATCTGCATTTCCTTTGGTTTCAGAGTCTGCGGTAGGGTGTTCCCAAGGGCCAAATCCAAAGAAATTAAGGTGCCAAGTCTCCGACTTGAGAAATATATTTCTGGACCTGGCCCAAAGTCCCTTAAGTACCCAAGTCCCATAGTCAGTGGGACTGAGGCTCTGGAATTGCTTTCAGGCTTTTGAAAGGGTTAAATCAGGCATCTCTCTGTAGCACTTCTCAGCATATCCTCTGTGAGCTGGTGAGTGAGTGTCAGAGGTATCATTTCCCATTTCCCCCCCAAGTTCATTCCTGTGGCGAGAGTCTCCTTGATGCCATCCTCTCGAGTTAGCTAGATGCCAGCCTGATGAGAAATGAAGCTTGCTACCTTCAGTCGAAAACCTTTCAAATCCTGTTTCCCAAACCCAGGCCCATCAGCTCCAGCAGGAAAGGCAGCTGGCAGTCCTTAGCGAAAAGGCCAAGCTGGAAGCCCAAGAGAGCCAGAGGTCTTTGGATGAGTTGCTCAAGCACCACGTAGAGGTAAGAGTCAATGGTCCAAGCAGCAGGACAGACTGAGCCGTCACCTCCGAGTTGTGCCAGCTCCTTTCTGTCTTGCTCACCTAAACCTCGCTTTGAGGGTCCATTCTTGGGATGATACTTTAGGAAACTTTCTCATGGCAGCTCAGATGAAGGAGAAGCTTCCCATAGGCTGGGAGATGGACTAGAGGGGAAGCTCAGTGCAAAGAGATGCATCCTCTCCCGCAGGAAAGCAGCTCCTGATAGCTCCAAGCTTTGCCTCTCGTTATACCTCTCCTCCTTACACACACCACCGTTACCTCATTGCACCTAGCTCGTTCTTTAGTATCACCCATTAAGAATCAGAAGCGTGTAAAAGGTACTAGAAAAAACAAGATCTATCCCAAGAGAGCTACATAAAGACTCAGAGCTATCACCTTTAGGACAGCTCACCCGTTGCTATTAGAGAGCATCGATTCTGGTTTTGCAGGGACTGGATAGCGCCAGAGCTGACTCTGCCGTCAGATCAAGATTCGAACTTGCCAAGCGAGAGCCAAGACGGTGTCGACTTGAAGATGATCCCAGAAGAGAGAACGCAGCTGCAGCCAGGTACGGTAGGCAGCACCCGACAGGACACGCAGCCGTGTCAGCCCACTACCTGTTTAAGACAGGATTAAAAGGGGAAAAATAGGCCTGTGCAAGACAGTGACACAGGAGCACATTTCTGTGACCCCAAGGAAATATCCACTGTAAGGAAGGTGGCTCGCACAGCAGCTGCCCTGGACACAATGTTGTGTCCCACCTTTTCGCAGTTTCCCCCTCTGCACTAAACTGTCCCTCAACCCATTATGCTACGAAATGACTGTTCACATGCACAAAGTCCACCACCGAACAGGAGTTAGTGACAATATTTTGAGAGGTCTTGAGCTCTGCTAGTGAGGCGTGCTCTCGAACACCGAGGTATTGGTGCCGTTACTGCACTGTGCAGCGACTATTGCAAATCATCACATCAACTTGCATTTGTCTTCTTCCCCACTCCCAGTACCCCGGGGGGGCATTCACCAAGGCCTTCTGTGCAGAGGGCAGAGACGGATGGCAATACCCAACCAACCACAAAAAGAAGAGCCCCTGGGGAAGCCAACCTAGATTTCTCCACCCACCGACCAGGTAACTATCTCACTGGGCGATTGGCGGCCACAGGATAAAGTGGCAGGTCCTGCCGCATACGTGGAGAGAGGTGCAGCATTTGGGGGTTGCAGCTATCAGCCCCGATTGCAGCAAACCTTTCACTGTGCTCAGAACATTTGCCCGAGGAGGATCCATATCAACACATATATATAATGCCAAAGCAACATCTTTGCCTTTCTTATCAAACCACATCCCTCAGATAGCTGGGATTAATGACACCCGGCACCTATTCGTGGGCTCCACAGGTCAGCACAAGATGGAAGACATACCTGGTTTCCATTCACTATTGGACATTTCATGATTTAGGCCCATTAAGGGAGAGAGGTGACATCTGACTCCAGATAAAACTACTCAACAACCGACTTCATGCATCAGGCCTATAGAGTCAGCTCGCTAGGGGAGCAGAACATCTCTCAGTCCGGTCTCTACAGGCCAGACTGAGCATGGGCATCATTGTTATGCATCATATAACACATGATCTCCACAGGCAAGTAAAAAACAAAAAACCTGCTTTCTTAAACATACAGCAGTACTTCCTGCTGGAACAGCCATTAAGGCCCAGGAGTGAGCCACACTTCCAACCCTGCACTTGCGTTGTCTGCAGTACTAGCACAGATGCCAATTCATATGCCCCACAGTGGGAGCATATTAGAAAAAGTCAGGGTTTTTTTAAAACTTCAATCTTTTTGCCCATGCTATGAAGTTTAGAGGCAAGAGGCATTACTTTTCTGCCTCCCCAAGCAATCCCAGCGTTAAGAAATACTGTACTTACAAGGACTTTAACGTGGTCTTTTTTTCCTCTTTTCGAACGCCTCTCTGCAGAGCGTGGGGACTCCTCTCAGGTACATCCATCCTTGAATCCCTTGTCAGCTCTCATAAGTCTGCCCAAGAGCAAGACACGTGCAGCAGATGATTCAGGAGACAGCAGCGAGCAGACGGACTCCATCAGCCAGGTACCAGGCTTCAGAGCTCCTCTCCCTTCGGCCTGCATCCAGCGATTCCCGTTTCGTTCGTGCCTGTAATTGCAATGCCAGCCTTGCAAGGCACCCGTGAGGTTTCTCACGTAACCTCTCCCTCCACCCTCTGCTTCTCCTTCAGTGGAGCGAAGTGAGCCAGTTCTATGGAGGCTCCAGCACCTTTTCCCAGTTTGGCTTGGCCATGGCTGAGCAGTACCTGCGTGAAGAAGAGCTGCGAGCCCGGCACCAGGCTGCTCTCCTCCGACTGCGAGACGAAGCCCTGCAGGAGAAAGCCAGGGCTGAACTGGCCTGGCTGCAGTATCAGGAGTGGTAAGGTGGATTTATTCATGCAATGCCTGCGTCAGCACATGGCATCTAACAGCAGCCAACTGCTCGGAGCAAGGCAGCCTCCTCGCTGGGTGGACTTTCCATGCCCCTCGTGGGAGGGCATATTACGTCACAGAAATAAATTTGACTTCAGACCCAAACTGCGGTACAAAAGGCCTCCCCTCAGCTTTTAGGGACTCCAAATTTAGTCCAGCTAGTAACAGGCAAGTCCAAGGCACAGTTTTCCCTAAGCACACGCTGCTCCCACCTCCATTACCTCCCTTAGGGCTGCAGCCAGGCAATCAGCAAACCCCCCACACCTGAGCCAGCCCCTCTCCGGCAGGGCAGACAGGTGGACCCGCTCCTCTAATGAGAGTAAGAGACTCAACTCTTTTTTTTTTTGTGCGAGCCATTATTCAGAGTCAGATCAGGGATGCGAGGGGAAAGTGATGCAGCTTCTTCTACTAGCTGCCTTTTGGGGTGAAATGTAAATGAGGTTCAAATTCACTCAACTTTGCAAACCGAGTGAATTGGCTTCTGAAGGAAACTACCCTGGGGTTTTGCACCACGGTTGTGAGACAGCCTGGCTCAGTCTTGGAAAAGGCTAACCATGGCTTGGGCACTCCTGTGCTCTTACAGGATCTCCAGGTAGGGAGCCGTCACTGGTACAAGTCTGCACAGGGTCTGCTTGCGGCTTAAAAGGTTCAGGGATTGTGGCAAAAAGCAAAATACCCAGTGGTGCCTCAGGCTTGGTTTTTGGGAGAGTGCATAGCTCAAGGGCTGGGGAAGGTATAGTAATACGTCTTTTTGGTTTCAATGGTTGCTGTGAATCCAGGCTGGTAACCTCCGGGGAGTGTCATTATCTGGTGGTCTCTGTGAAATAAGTGGTTGGGTTTCTCTCAGATTGCATCAGCAGTAAGGGCCGTCAGCTCCATGGTACCTTGCTTCTCTTCCAGCATATAGATAAAGCGGCCAGGTTTGCAAATTGCTTCATCCTGCAGTTCTAGCTGCTTTTGACAACTTCCATAAGTTTGATTCGCACATGCACGCCTTCTCTCCTGCTAAAGACTGCCATCTCTATCTGGCTTTCAGCTGCTTGGATAACCTGCGAGACGCTCGGGAAATGACTGCCATAGCTGAGCAGCAACGGGAAATCCTGACCAAGCTAAAACAAGAGCAGGTAATACCCCTGTCGTTACATGTTCCAGCTTTCTCCTTGGGAAAATCCAGGGAAGATGGGACACCGAGAGCACATGAGAGCCTTTTGGGCAGCAGAAAAGATTTACTAGTGTTATTGCATGGCTATTATAAAACACGTCATGTTTTATACATCAGACAAGCTACTTCTGTGCCAGGGACTGCGCTCTATAAATCTGAAGGAGACAAGAAGCACAATTTCTTTCTGCCACTTTCTTGTTACTGCAATTTTCTTTGCTTGGCATTAAACAGCAGATTGCACAGCATGTCTGTGCCTCCATGGCTGGAATACAGTTAGCTGGCTCAATAGCTGGTGGGCAAGGGGTCCGCTTTTCCTAAGACTGTCAGGAAAGGAAGTGTGAAACAACAGCACAGACCTAGGAGCAAGGCGACGTATTTTCTGGGCCTGACTCTGCCCCAGCCTCCTCTCCTTGCAGAGCTCCAGGACGTGTGTTTTTTATACAGCGTGCAGAGAAATCGGTGTGAGGTGCTGAGGGACCTGTGCATCCACTAGCCGTCTGGTCCAGCCTGCACCAAAGAGGAGCCCTCCTAATACTTAAACCTCTGATACCTCTGACTCGTGATACTTAAACCTTAACAACATGACAGCTTTGAGGAGCGGTGTGCCCAAAGACTTGTTGCCGCCTGTTAATAAATACACTTCTACCTCGATCTGCAGGTCTCTCTCCTACTTGTGCTTGCACATTAACTGTCGTTTACTTGCCAGCCTTCCTTTCTTCACTCTGCAGGCGGAAATCCTGCACCTCCGAAATATCTATAGAGCAGCCCATCGGGAGAGGAAGCTCTTATTAAAGCAGCAGAGAGACATCTTGCTGATGCAGAAGTCAACAGCACAACTCCAGCAAGAGCTGCATAGCTTGGCTGGGCAGCAACAGGTTAATAGAACCCTATAAAAGGGTAATGTTTGGGGATGACAATAAGCCCCGACATCTGGTGTAGATTTGAATGCGTTATATGCTGAGCAATGGAAGATGAGCTTGGTATTATTTTGAGATTGCTGATTATAACACTAGTGCCAGTCTGCCAGGCAAAATCTGGCACTGGGTACATGCCCAGGACATGTTGCATTCCCTTACGGGGAGCTCTGTGGTGCACAGAGGGTGTACGCCCTTGCATTGGTCCCTGAAATCCTTTCTTCTGCCTACTGCAGGTAGAAAGGTCCTTGTCCACCTCCAGAGGAAGGTTTCGGCATTTAGGACTCGCTCATGTCAGTCCAATGCAAGACAAAGCCCTGCTTTTAGTGCAGCAAATCCAGACTTGCCCTAGTGCTCCAGAAATGTAAAAATTGGTCCCTCGCACCTGTTTTAAGGATGCTGTTATCAAAGGCATCGAGCACTGGCCTCCTGCTGCTCCCGTTCAAGTCAGTGGGAGCTCATGGGTTGGTTTTTTAGCCTGTAAGGGTTGGAGCTAGAAGCTGCAGCTGTTCCTTGAAATGGAAAATGACTGAAACTAGAACTGACACCAGTTGATGAAGCCCAGGTAAACCGTCATGCCTTCCCCTGTTCCCCTTAGTTTATAAAGAGTCTGGCAGATGTCAAAGAAGCAATAAAGAAGGCTGGGAAGATTTCCAGTCCAACAGCACCCTCCGCCTTGGCAGAATCAACAGCACAGACCTCAAAAAGGCCTGGCATGTCGAGAAACAGTCGTGCCCAGAAGAGGAATAAACAAAGTGGGCCATGTCAGGGGTAAGTAATATCTTTTTACAACTGGTTTTACTGGTTACAGGTCAAATCAGCCCAGTGAAAAATATGAGGACCCTCCTATCCCAGACGGCAGGCTGTTCCTTCAGGTGAGATGCAGTGACTCCAGAGTAAGGGATATAGTGACAAGCCTCGGCAACCTGACATGGTTTGGCATGTGGTGCGCCAAGACCGTTGCTTTATCGTGATGACCCCTCTAGCCTCATTGATTCTTCTGTCTAAGATTGTAAACTCTCCAGGATTGAGATCAGATTTTTGTTATGTGCATGTCTAGCACCTAGTCCGGTGCCAAAATACAAGGGACAGACTATTCCTGAGTCTGTTCACGCTGTCTAAGCATCCACATGGCAGCTGCCGAACTCTCAAAGTGCAATATTTGGGCTGGAGTCATCCTTTGTTGGCTGCACGATGCTGCTCAGGTATTGGGAAAAGATGTCTCTGCTACATTATTAAGGACACTTTATGGTTCTCACCTATTTTTTTTTTTTTTTTCATGGCGTTGGATCATTGAATGTGTGGTGCTGATGGGCGGATTTTGTAGTCCTCTCTCACACTGCACGGCATTTGCTCATCTGAGTAGTAGAATAAAGTCAATAGAACTACTTATAGGGCAATTGCTACTCGCAGGGGGCGGGTGAAGGAAAATCTGACCTGGACCAGCTCTTCTTTAGAGCTGTGAAATTTCCATCCTGTGAGAGAGTCCAGTATTTTGATATCTGTTTTCTTGCTGAAAGGAGATAAAAGTCAAAATATCAAATAAGTTCATGGAACAACAATTTGTGGGGGGTGGGGAGAACTGGATTCCAGAAGGTTGATGTTTTCAATTTTTATGTTTTACAATGAAACTCTGTCTGTCTTTCTCCGAAATGTTGTCAAATGTTTGTTAGAAGCCCAATTTTTTTTTTTTGCAAAGTTGCCCATTTGAGAGCGAATTAGAGATGGAAATTGGGATATTTCTCAGTAACAAAAGTTGATGAAATCTGATATTTGGGGGCGGGGGGAAATAGTTGAAGATGAAATGCATCAACCAGCTCTCTGAAGCCACAAGGGAAATTCTGGCTGATATAGGTGGAAGGTACTGTTTTAGCTCAAAAATATCTCCAATTATAATAGAACATGCTAAATCTGAGCCTTAATCCTAAAATCTAGGGAAAAAATAAATATACCCAACCCTGCATTCTGGATTTATCATTTTAACTTGGGCTATTCTGTTTCATACAAAGAGAAGCCTTACTAATCTGCTGTCATAAGCTTATTACCATACCCAGCAAGGAGCAGGAAGACTTGCTCTGAGTAATGAACTATTTAATTCTATGTACCATAGGTAGAAAAAACAGTTTAAAAATTCCCAAAGTCTTCAACTGGAAGCAGCATGACACCCTTATTGGCATATGGCACTTCAGTGTTGTCCAAACATTTTAATAAAGATGTAATGAATTTATACATAAGCAGTATGAAAGACTGCATAATACAAAATGCAAGTCGGACTGAAATGAAATGAAGCCAAAACAAGACACGAGCTGTTTTGATTTCAGCTTGTGTCAAAGTTTGTTTTTTTTTCCATAGAGGCATCCATGTGAGCGTTCAGGATTTCAACAACAGAGTATTTTTCTTACACAAAACTTTTCCATTCAAGCAGACTGGGTTCTAAAAATATTCAGTTTCAACCTTGAGACCATGAAATTAGAAAATGCCAGCCCAGCCCTGGTGTACTTTTTGCCTTCCAAAAATGTCTCTTTCTATTTCTTTCTTGATTCTTGCTACCTTTTCCCATATTTTTGTGGTTAATATTTAGTGCTCTAATAATTCCATTTAATCCTAAATAGTTGCAAAAGATGTCCAACAACTACTGGTAATCATTTGCATTTTTAACGATACCTTTCAGCTAAGGAGCTCGGAACCCTTTGCAAATATTAATTAATTGAGCCTCTTAAATCTCCTATGAAATGCAGATGGACCTATTGATTTAGGGTGTCAGCTTGTGGTCTGTGCACTGCTTGGGTCCCATTTAGCCCCTCAGAGAAGGTGATGTTTACTACAGGCCTTGTATGGGCTTTGTCTAGGGGTTAGCTTTGCCCTTAAACTGAAGCACGGATAGGTGGTGTCCAGGGCCTGCAGCCGGATAAAAGAATCCTGGAGTCCAGGCACCCGGGGGAAACCCTGATGCTCCTGAAGCTAGGCTTTCATGCACAACCTCTTTCTCTAAGGGCTCCAAGGGATGAGCATCTGCAGCTTCCAATGACTCCAGAGTGAGTAACGGGTGCTCCGGACTTGGACCACGAGACCCCAAGGTGCAGCAACGGTATTTCACATGAGCCCTCTGAACAGCCGTCTCCCAAAGCAGCCTCAGGCGAATGCACACACATCTACCAGTTTGCTCTAGAAAAAAAAAATAGGTGCCATTAAATCTATATAAATCGAATGCGTAGATGAATAAGAGCCCTTCACATCTAGTTATCTGGGCCCTGCACAGCAGGTGGGTGAGTCGGTGCTGTGCATTTACTTAGCTCCCCATAGGGAAAGGCTTTCAAATAAATCTCGGCATGAAGCTGATCTATAATTCATGTTGCTATTGATTACAAGTCACAGGAATCTTGAAAAAGGTTTCTTGGCTGCACTTTCATTTCTTGTTACTGGCGAGTTTGCTACCGGTGGAACAGTGACTATGAACCCGAGTCTCTAGCAGACCGGGGGCCTTGTGGAGCTCGAAATGTTCCTAAACTGTGACTCCAGCTTTCTTGTGCATAGATGTGTCTCCCATGTGAGAGCGCAGAATGGTAACTGTGCTCTCTGTTCACCAGTGCAGGTATGTTCATATTTTATACTGATTAGGAACAAGTATTGAAAGCAGCGGGCTCCGGGCTGCAGTGGGGGAGACCGCTTGAGCAACACTTTAGAAAAAGCAATAAGGCGTTATTACTGTGACGAGCAGATGGCGACACTTGGAGGTTACTGCTGCTTTTGGGCTATTTGGCTCCGACCTGGATGCTGCGTTTCACTCCTTCCAGAGAGGAGCCTGCAGTGTTTGACTGCATAAGCTGGCTGCTTCCAGCCTTGCAGTCCTGTCTGTGTGCGTGCATGCGTGCTAGGCAGTTGCAAAAGCCTGGCAAGCTTTGCTCATTCACAAAGAATACAAGTTTTCCTTCAAGCCGTCCCTGCGTTCGTATCCAGCAGGGGCACCCCAGTTTAAAGGGAAAACGTTACTGGCCGGGGAAATCCTGGACTATTCTTGTAGCATTCCCCATAAGACTTCGGGCCTCATCCAAAGCTTGTTGCAGTTGATGGAAAGACTCCTGTTGACTTGCATGGGATTTAGAGCAGAAGCTACACGTATTCTTAAGTAGAGCAGCAGATACTTCTTTACATTTATGCAAATCTATATGTGTTCCTAATGATGACTAATTTTCTTAATTTACCTACAGAAGCATACCACTAAGCTTTAATGACTCGAACACCATGCTTTAGGGGGTTGATCGTGATTACAAAACGAAATAGTTTAAAATTAATGAAAACATTATTATTTAAGCATAATATATTATGAAACGAGTAACGCTAGCAAATGAATGTATTTATTTATTTTTTTTAAGCCTTGGTGATTCTATGCTTGCTTGAAAGTATTTTGTTCAAACTAAATATTTTCCTGAAGCCCTATGATGGTGGATTAACTCTTAGAAGCAAAGATATTGTTCGTTTTGCCTAGTTGGATAATGGTATTACAGGTGTTTTGATTCCCCCCCCCGCCCCCACTACAACATACGACTAATGCGCATCACTGCTGTGGGCTGGATTGAATCGGCTTGCTCTGCTCAGCTGCGTAGCATAGAGCCAATATTGCTGGAAAAACTCCTTTCATTTCAGTGGTAGGGCCTCATGCCTTTGGAGTAGTTATGACAAGTATTTCTCAGTGTGCAGCTGAAATCAGCCATGGGATCCAGCATGTGAAGAGGTCCCAGATTTGTAGATGATATCTTATTGCATGTGAAAAAAATCTAAATATCTGCTGAAATTGTTGCAGACTAAGAGCAGCATGCCAGCATCTGAGCTGGAAATTCAGCCTTCTAGTTTCCTTTCATGGATGCTGTCAATCTGTCTAGTCTCCTGCTGTATCTACAGGTGTTGGGTCAGGCATTTCAACACTGTGAAGCCCAGCAGCACCGTAGGAGACAAAGGGAAAACCCATCCTTGCCACCTATCTTCAGAGTGGAAAAAAATTAATGAACCACAAGGAAAACTTTTCTTACTTCACAGTTTTGCAGCTTTGCAAACATGCATGCTTGAGCACTCTCCAGCCCCTAAGAAAGACTTCCAGCAGCCTTTGATTCATACCTTTATTGACTTCCCTGGGTTAGTCGTGATTAATCGGCAAACACAAACACCACCTCAAATCATTAATTGCTTGTCTAATTTTATAGCCACCATATTGAGAGAGAGAGAACTTCACTAGGATACAGGAATCAAGCTGAGGAGCCCCAGAGGTGGCAACGGACATTTGGTGCAGATCCCAAGGCGCCTGGAAAAGGAGTTAAGAAATCATGCGATGCAGTGAATCAAACCATAGGCCCAGTCTTAATGGATGAAGACCTTAAAGATGCAGGTATTCAATTAAAAGTCCCGAGTGCCCGAACCACCCAAATAAATCACTTTGCAAGTTCATGGTCACTCAGATCATAAGTAGTAAGCAGGTGAAAAGCTGAAAGTTCAGCCCCTCTCTATAGCAGCTGAAATTATCTTCTTCTTTTTTTTTAAGGGGCCTCATATTTGTCCTAATATAAAACATTTCCACTGGACTCGGTGGATTAGGTTTTCTCTTTCCTGGGAGACCTTGCCATGTTAATTCACACCAGGTCAAGTTTCTGTAATGGGTTTCTATGCAGGGTAGGCAGGAAACTTCACCCACTGCAGTGTGGTGTCACTTCTATAAAACACTTGGCTGGGATGATCATTTGGTGCTCTGCTTCCAAGGGCAAGAAACAACCCAGCCGGGTGCCTTGCAAGCTATAAAACTGCAGCACAATGCCGGCGGGTATTCACGCTGCCATCAGGAGAGAGGCGATGCATTTTCCACGCCGGCTGGCTGATTTACTGGATACAGAATATAGGTCCATAATGCTGGGAGGGCGGACAGTCGAGAAGGCTGTCCAGAAACTCTGTTAAAAGATGCTGTTCTTTCCTAGTGCCTCCCACCTCTTGCAGGCCCTCTGCTGAATGCAACACAAATGAAATCCAGACCACAGTGCAGTCAACAGAAAAGTTTTCACTGGCCTTAGGAATGCGCCCATGAAGTGTAAATCAGTGGGGCTTAGGCTGGATTTGTGGGGGATGTAGGGTGTTTTTTCTGCCTGCTGCATGGGGGTCAGCATTCCCTGAAAATGAACAGCAGGTTTTATATAACTTGGCTGGGTATGCTTTCAAAGGATATGGAGAGATATATATACACATTATATCTCCATATCCTTTTCAAGTGTACTTCCCTTGGGAAATCTTTGCCCTGAACCTGCCTTGCCCTTTGATTGTTTAAACAATAGACAATGAAAGCATACGATGTTGACAAAGCTGCCTCTAAATATTGGTATAAATCATCATCCAGCTCGGAGTTCCACGCTGTCTCCTCCACGAAAGTGCGATCAGTATGTTTGCACACACCGTCACAAGGGCTCCTTCGGATACCAGCAAAGATTTGCATAAGTACTTTTCTGGATGTGACACAAATAGTACTGTTGAAATACAGTTTTGGTTACGTGGCTTTTGTGCTCCATTTCCAGGCAAACACTGAGAGAGGGTCTTGTCTGAACCCCTGAAAGGAGGGAATTAGCTTGGTGAGTGCTGTTACAGCACATTTAACAAAATGGTTAGTAGGAAAAATAGCTGTGTGTTATCTAGGTGAAGAAGACTATCGTAGCTCTGTTTTGTTTTGTGGTGTCTGCTGAGTCAAGGAAAACTTGGGGCAAAATGAGAAAAACAATAAAAGAAAAAATGTACTCGTATGGGAAATAGAGAGAACTTGCATTGAGCAACACAAATGCTTAAAGCATACATTTGCTTATTCATGCATGCAAATACAGCACTGTAAGCCAATAAACTTCATGTCTTTCAGAGCCGGGTGATAGGAGTCAGGTTCTCTTACATCTAGAAGATGGAGATTCAGCTGAAATGGATAAAGCTACATTCATTCCTGGGCCAGGAGGAGACGAACGCTATGAGTTTCTCGTAAGAAGAACCCTCTTTGAAATCCTGTGTCTGTCTAATGCAACGTGGCCATGTCAATAATTCTGCGCCTCTGGGTAAAAGCGCTCTGTGAGACGCTGCGTGCCAGATCACTGCCTGGATGTTAACTGTCCTTGCCCAGGCTACCAACTGCTACATGTCTTTTTCTCCCTCTCCTTTAAATTACTGACTCTGCCTCTTGAACATTTATATTCTAGGAATCCAATCCGGAGGAAAAGGAGCATATTTCAAATGCAGGACTTGACCCTAAAGACAATAAAGCTATTAATTCACACGACAGTGAGTTTACAATGAACGGTTTGGGGATGCTTTCCACTTTGTGTAACTTATGCCTTGCTCGAGTAGAAAATTCTCTTCAAGAAACAGGTAAATCATATTTAATGCTATTATGTCCAATCTGTTTCAACCGCTTCAATCAAACTTTAATACAGACAGAAAGAGAGACAGTCTTCTCATTTATTACCCAAGTGTCTTGCTCACTATACCTAATGTATAAATCACCTTCAGGCAAGATGTTGGAGATCCGTCTAAGGTTTATTATGAGATATGATTATGCTCCTTCCTCGGAACAAAATCATAACTTATTCTGATTGTGTCATTAACAATTTACTTGCTTTTGAGGTATCTTTTGAAATAATTTAAGGGTTTTCATTTTAAAAGAACATAGATCAGTTGAAGATAGACTTCGACAGGACGTGCTGGAGTTATTTTTGTTTCCTGTTTTATCTTCAGTTCATATTTCTGGTCCCCAGTACAGCTTGTAACAAGTGAAACCGGCTTTTTATATATGAGCCAGTTCCATCATTTATATAGTTCTGGGAACACATAGTCTCTGCATTGCAAATATTTGTATGTGGTGGCAACTGTTCTCATTTGCAGCATTTTTACTAATGAAAGACCTTTATAGCATAGAATCCAGCCAGGTACCAGCTGCGGGGAGGCTCTATACATTTATGCAGTAATCACTGATCTTTGAGAACAGGGATCCCAATGGCAGAGGCCTGCTATGGGCTGCAGTTCAGCAATGTTCTCAAGAATATGCCTAACTTTCGAACATGTGGCTAGTCATTTATATATATAAAATAAATAAATAAAATATCAGCAGAGTTTTGCTATTGATTAAAGTAATACTGGTTCCATTGCAAGTCAAGCCCCTTGCTCAGGATACAAATGAGGACAGGAGAATGTTTCATAATCTGGGGGGTTAGTGCACATGTTCTTTCCTTAAAAATCATGCCCAGTACTAGTGCGCACATGTGCACGTGCACACACAGACACACGTGTGTGTAAATTGTATTCTGCTAGCTGGTACTCAGAGCAACAAAAAAAAATGTTTGCTGGCACTAGTCAAAACGCCAGACTAAACCTCTCAGAAGAACTTTGTACTCTCTTATGCTACTTAAAATGGTGCTGTTAACAAAATAAACAGAGCCTTATACTTCCTGTTTATAGCCCCATTCTCTGCGTATTGCAGGTGTCACACTGTACAAGGTAAATGATTTGAGCAACAAAGCTTTTTAGTTTGTGTAGTGAGCTTGCCATCTGAGTCGTGTCTTTTTTTGTGGCCAGTCCACTAAGAGGATAACAGCTTTCTACTCCTAGCAGACGATTACAGTCCTCCTTTAGCTCAAATAAGAGGTCTGTGTTTTATGCTGAAGATTTCTGGATTTAAACCCTTCTGATTTACTTAAACTGGTGATTATTTTACTTTCTTGCTTTGAGATGATATCAAAATTTGCAAAAAATAAAATTGATATAGTTCTTCCTCCAACTGCCCAGTTCATGCGGGTGACTTTGGAATGAAAATACGGCCAAGACCCGGAGGTGTTGCATAAGTAGGAAAGTACTGTACTCTCTTTATGAGACGTGAAGAGGATGGTACCAGGAGGTTGAGCAGCCTTGCTTTCTAGCTTACAGGTGGTTATTGCAAACAATAGCTTGAAAAAGAAAAGAAAAGTTTCCAGCAGTTGTCTTCACAGGCAGGATCAAATTAAATAAGAAAGCAAAAGCCCTGGGATTTAAGAACTGCAGGATCTAAAGAGTTAATTACCGGGGGATAAAATCAAGCTAAATTATGTTCATGACTTGCTGACTTTTGCAGATGTTCCAGTCATCAAAGAAGAAAAAAAGGACGTGTTTGCAGCACGTGAGGAAACTCCTGCCGGTGAAGGGGAGGGGTGGGCTGAGCCTTTCTGTGACAGTCCTCATAATCTCCTCGGCGAAGGGAAGGGTTTGAAATCGTGTTCAGAGAGACTAGGCTCTGCTGCCTCATCCACTAAATCGCAGGACTCATCTCAAAGTGGCAAGAGTAACAAATCCTGCCATTCCCTCCCAGAGTTTCAGAAAGTATCCGCTGTTCGGATCAACATTTCTGAAAGCTTTGCTTCAGCGTCTGAGTTTGGAGCTGAGGATGGACAGGACACCGATGTCAGCATCCCTGAGGAGTTTGCCATGCAAGACGACGAGGATGTTGACGTGTTTTCCAACCCTTCGACCAAGATGCGCGCAGTGCTAGGTGACGGAAATGAATTATTATCCGATGACAAATGTGATGAACAAGTGCTCCCTGATGAGACTTTGCTGCTTTTTCATGGCTCTGGGAAATATCTTGGAGTTGTTCCAGGATGTGACCGTATTCACAAATCACATCCCGACACCCCCTTGAACAATGGAAATTCACAGCCAAGCATCTCAAAGACAGAAGAGCCATTTCCCCTCTGGTCTGATGACCTTGCCATTCGGAAATGCAGACCACATATGGACACCTCGACTCCATCGTCCTACTCCGAAAACTGCAATTTAAACAAGGTCTCCACTCCAGGAAAATCTGAGCAGGACCCAGATTCATTTAACTCCTTGTTGCACAGCAATGCCGTTTGGGGGGTAAGGAAGAGCTTTGGACTGCAGGGCTCCAGCTCCACAACCATCCAAGTGGAAAAAGATGGCAGAGATGATGATTTATCTGTTGATCAGAGTAAGACGGAGCTCTTAAGGTGCCATGAAATAGGTTCCTCGAAACATCTCAGCGAGGTTGCTGTTGGTAAGAGGGTATCACTTCCACCTAAAAAATCGATAACAGATGATGAAAGGTCCTCACTTCCTATAGCATCCCCTGTAGTCTCCAGAGACTCAGCAGTTTTGGAAGGTGAAGCTATTGATGCAGAACTTTTAGGTGACCGACCTGTATCCAGCAACCCAACTGAAACTGCATCTGCACGCACCCGTGCTGAAGAGGTCCCTGTGGAAGCTGCAGTCAGGTTGTCTGATGCTGAAACATTGCAAAGGGCAAGTGTGGAAAATCAGAAAAGCCCAGCAACAGGAAGTCAGACCCCCAAACCCGCACTGTCTTCTGTCTCCTCCAACCAGCAGTCATCTCGAGCTACGCGCTGTCATTCTGAGTGCAAAGATGATGTGACATTTGTCAGTGATGATGAGGTTCTGCCTCCAATTGATGAAGACACCCTGTCAGAAATCCTCTCTCCGGTTGATGAAGTGCTGTCCTATGGAAGTATTGACTTGCCATCATCCAATAAAAAGGATTTCTCATTTCAGAGTCACGATTTACCCGCACCTCCCATAGATGTGGGTGGGATAAAAAGTGACAGTGTTAGCTTCAGCACAGAAGACTTCCCTTCCCCACCAGAACAACTGCAACTCTCGGAGACTAGAGATAATACAGATGCAGATGTGTCAGTAATACAGGATCAGTTATGCTCGCTGCCTGATGAAGAAGTGCGCCCACCATCTCCAGAGTTAGGTGGTGATGTTTCAGTTCAGGATAGAAAATGTTTAGGACTTTCTTGGGGTAAAGAAAACGCTTCAGATAGAAGGGAGGAGTTATTGGAACAGGCAGGAGGAGAAAACAAGAGCGTGCTGCAGCAGTCGGGTTTATCATTGGTATCCAATCCTATTTTGTCAAGTCACGTCAATAAAAGCACTGAATGCTTAAAGAAGCCAAGCAAACCTTTCTTAACACTAGCCACAGCTCAAGAGGAGGCCGATGACCCATTATTATCATTTGAAGTTGGAAACAGAGTATTAGTAAAGTATGCCCAGCCAGGCACTTTGATGTTCAAAGGATATACCAACTTTGATAAAGGTTATTGGGCTGGTGTGGCACTTGACAAACCTGAAGGTGACCACGATGGAACTTACAGAGGAGTGAAATATTTTGCGTGCGCTAAAGGTTGTGGTGTATTTGTCAGACCTGACCAAATTTCACATCTCTTGGAAGATAGTGAATGTAGTTGTGATTACACTGGGGATGAAGATTCATTCTCTGATAGCGATGCTCCATCCAAAGGGGCCAGTCATTCTGCAGACAATGACCAAAAGAGGACAGGATATATGGAAGAGGAATTGGAAGATGTTTGCAGTACAGAAGGTCCAGCATCAAAAGAAAACAAGTCTAGATCACACACGTCCTCCTCATCAGTAATAAATCATGAGTCTCTTAGCTGGAAGAACAGTGAATTCACCCTTCAAACTTGTTCAGCAGGTTTTGAATCTGATAAGGAAACAACAGAACAAATGGAAATAAAACAGACCTTTGCAGATGTGCTTCCAGTGAGAAATAAGGACAGCCTCACAGGGCAAGCTGGCTTCAGCAGAAATATTAGCTGCTTACTGCAGGATCAAGAGAAAAATAAACGGGCTGATTATATCTCTAGTGAACTCACTACAAAACTTCTGCTTGACACTTCAATTGCATTCTCTGCAACAGCTGAACACAAATATAAAAGTGTCTGTGAAAGAAAAATAAGAAAAGATGGCTTTGAAAAAGTAGACAGTGGGAAAAGGTTGCTTTTTAAGAAGAATCACACTGATAGCTTATCTGAACAATCAGCTGCAGTTTCTGATATCTTATTGTGCAACTTTGATATGCTTAATAGTCACGGCCCTCGCACAGCACAAACCATAGTAGAAAAAATTATAACTAAATTTGTAGATGATGCCCTGAAAGAATATAGGAAGATTAAAAGGAAACAAGGAGGAAAAGCAGATGAGCTATGTCACGGATCTGCTGAGACCGCTCAAGCCACATTGCCAGTAAGTATATGAAGTCAAGAAGCTATGGCTGTATCTGCTGAAGACTTGAACCTCCATTTGGGCCCATGCAGAGGGATAGGAGTGTTGGTCCAATAGCTTTTTATCATCAATGAGTTCTGCAATGTCAAGAGAAATATCATTTGAACACCAAAATACCTTTTGGGACTATGCAAAGGAGTTACGTTCCTGTCTTTATTCCATATCTCTGACAGATAGCTCTGTCCGTGTGAGGATAATCCAGAGTGGGAACTAAAAGTTGGGGACACACTTGCTGCCATTCTAGCATGCATTATCCTTACCCTAATCCAACCCAGAATAACTCTAGCCTATGAAGACTGCACCTGCAGTTTCCCAGGTGTATGTGTGCAGGGGATGTTCATGGGGCTGAGAGCAAAGCTGGTCCCGAGTACTTCACACAAAACCTTTTCACCCAAGGCCATTCTATCCAGCCTGCAGGGCCCCTAAAATTTTTTTAAAATTAATATTAATCTGCCTTAGGCTGCCTGTCGTGCAGATCCTCAATGGCTTGGCAAAACTCAGTAAGTGGCCCTGTGCCCGAAATAATTGCCTACCCCTGCTCTAGAGCCCTCCAGCCAGACGGCATCCAAGTTGCAAATCCCACCGATTGATTTTTGGTCTGGTCTGGAGGCTGGGGAGTTGTGGGAGCTCCTGCTTTCAGCCCATCAGCAATCCAGTAGGCTAGCTACCGCAGAGCTAGTACTTCCAGGACCCTATCTCTTGTTCAGCTCAGCTGGGAGTCCTTGCTCAGCCAGGCACTTCAATTTATGATTCTCATTTATTTTGACAAGGTCATTTCCATCACTGCTGTTGCTGGGCAATCAGCACACTAAAAAGAATCAAATCGGGCTCATTCAGCAGGTGCAAGGGCTTCCAGGTTCTCCAGATCTGCAGCTACCGGGTGGGAGAGGAGGCGGCAACCAGGGCTGGACCTGATGATCTCGAGGGGTCCCGTCCAACCCCTAACCTCTGTGAATTCTGGATAACATGTTTCAGTTCAGAAACGCCACATTTTGGGTGTTTTGCAAAACTAAATAACTTGGGGTTTGAATCCTGAAAAAAAAAAGAGAGAGAGAGAGAGAGTTGTATTGGCTTTTTCTTCCAATTCAGAACAAAAGCTTCTAAAATCTTAAATCATCTCACAGCACTGAAATTTGATTGCTCGAAGTAGCTCAACTGAAGAGCAGTAAAACTTAATGTATTGGGGGCATATTAACCTGATTCTCTTTGAGGGCCACTTATATATGAATCTGGTTTCTAACTGGTATGTGGCATCTTGAAATGTCTCTCTCTAAATATGTGTAAATCCAGTACCTCTGAAAGAGATGCATGGGAGCGTAATGCAGCTTTTCTTTTTTTTTTCACTCAAGTTCCTTATAAAAATCCTTGATGCTGGTGTTTTTGGAAGTGTGGAAGGCTTGGATCAGCTCATTTCTGTCCAACCTACCCAGGAGCTAAAACTTCAGAGACAAAACCTGTACGGATTAGATCAGTGGCATTCTGCTCCTTGGAAGAAGACAGTGGAGGTTCCTCTGCTGGTCCCACATAACAGGTCCTATGTTAAGACACTTTCGGCACGTGCTGTAGAGGAATTATGGACTCTTGAAAACATATATACAAACTGCAAGAGGATCAATGTGCCAAAGGCTTTTAAAGATCATGACATCTCAGATGATGATTTGGAAGCAGAAAGCAAAAGGATATATAATCAGGTATTTTAAAAGGGTTACCTGCTGTTCTCTTTCTTTTTCTTTCCCCATAGTCTTTTTTTAAAGTTACACATGTAATTTAAGTTGATTTAAAATATACTGACTTTAGTAAAGAGATATTCAAAATGAATATAGAAAAAAGCAATGTGACCGGATTGTTTCTACTAAGCTACTGTGAAATAAAGTATACTGAGGATATACAGTGTTTTGATGCAGCCATGCTGTTAATATGCACCAACTGCCCCAGTAAACACTAACTGGGAAAGCTGGTGCATACAAAACCAGCATTTCTTTTCACTCCTTGTTCATTATTGAGGAATAGCAGCAGTACATGAAGCACTTGTGCAACCACAGCAGATCCTTGGATGCTACTGTACTGAAAGTGGCCAGTGTTTGGAGTCTCATGCTCTTAGGCTATGGCCACTAGAGAGGAGCATAATCACAGTTACTATATAGAAATGTGAACAGTGTGGGGAAACCTTGTGCTAGGACCCGAACTTCCCTGGCTGTTACTCCACCCCATTTCACCAGCTCTAAAATGACTTTTGAAAAAGTATCAAGGTGAGATTCCATTAATTTTGTTGTGTTTCTTCATTGTTGCAGATTATATTTGACTTGACTCGGGAGCTGTTGCAAGAAGAATATGCAGTAGCAGGGAATTCAAACACTTGTCCGTGGCTCAAAGAAAACCTGGGTTCCCGTTGCTCCAGACGTCTTCAGAGGAAGCCAGATGTCAATGAAGTCAAGGTGTATATCCTGGCAAGTTAAAGTGTATGAAAGTCCATATAGATCTGGCCGTGCAATGGGTAAAATGGTTAAGAAACATGCAGCAGCTAGGGCAATTATGGTGCAACTCAGGTGGTGATAAAAGGGGATGGTCATTCTATAATAGATGCATGAAAATGGGGTGAGATTGATTAGTTAATATAAAAATTTCCAACAGCACATAGCATTCTAAACTTTGCAATTATGAAGAATTAACCTGCAGACACGTGCTATAGCCTGGAGATGCTTTTATGTTAAAAGGAATACAGTTTGGGCCTCCAAATCTCCGAGTCAGCTTCCAAAACATCAGGTTTTAAAAATGCAGTATTTACTGTTTATAATCTTGAAGCAAAACTCAGAATTCATCCTGTCCCATGTAAAACCCCTGACATTTCCGTATTCAAATCTGGACTTCAGTTCTGGAACCCACATCTCGCACTTGCACCTTTCATAATGGCAGATCTATGATGCAGAGAAATACAGATTAGTCTCTTTTATTTTTCAAGTCTATTATTCAGGGAGAAATTATAAAGATAATGAACTTTGAGAAGAATGACTTGGAGATGAAGAGGAAACTCCTTAATATGACAAAGTATGGAAACTGTAAAAGGGACAGAGTGGACTTGATTCTGGTAAGCAGACACTGCTGGGGAAGAGTTTTTTTTTTTTACTAGAGTTAAGAAAATCAGTAAGACTTGTATGCTTGCAATGAAACCATCTTTACTTAAAATAACTTACTGGTTCATAAAAAGTTATAATATCCCTGTCTTTACATTTATTATCACTCTTATTACTAGTATTATTATTATAAGAGCAGTACTAATACTAGTTGATTATTATTACTATCATTACTGTTATGTCAAAGGTTTTAAAGAAACTCAAGTGTCTGAAGGGCTTGAATGCTCTAGTGGTTGATGTCAGTAGGAAATGACAGTAATCAAAACATAGTTTGGGGGCTTAAATTATTAATTATGCTGACTCCACCTATAAAGCTGAACAAAATAAAATAAGCATGCTCCTATAAGGTGCTGAGTGTCTGGCTCCCAGCCAACCAAGTACTTAAGCCTGCATTTAGCTTGAACCATGTGATTTCTCCTATTCATTTCAACAGAACAACCTCCATGCTTGAAGTAAAGCATGTATTTGGTGCTCTGCTGAATGAAGACCCAACTGCTCAGACACTTGGCAGGACCGAGCCCTTATGCTCAATGCAGACAACATTCCTGTCTATGTTACGTTTTAGATCCAGGAACTCCACAAAGAAGAATCTCAGTGGATTTACTACGACGATGATGAATTGACTGTGAAGAGGAGACTAAGTGATGACATTTTTGACAACTTGATCCTTGATACAGTCCGAGTTCTTAATGAGATCTACCTAAGAAGAACTTGTGATTAGGAGTTTTGCTTAGCAGCCTGCGAGGGCGGAGGCTTAAAATGCTCTGATCTGAGGGCAAAAAGACCCACAACCATGCACTGATGAATTTTCATTCTGAAAGGTGAACCTAAGCTCAGGGTGCTGCTGGTCTAAGTTACAGATTTTTATGCGCTATGAGAACAGAGCAAACAAGTGACTTGAGGATGAAAAAAATCAACTAAAAAGTTGCAGCGATCCCACGTGAGCTTAAAACTTAGGGCTCTTCTCAGACGGGTGTCACACAATCTAAATTCTCCTCTAGTGACTAAAGTTTTACTCTGGTTTTTATTTATCTGTACTTTGATGGAGTCAGCACTTTATTCGCATATGCATTTTTAATAGCACAATCGGTGTTAAAAAATTGCCTATTACTAACCTATAAATTATATATAAACAAGGTTCAAAAACAATTTATCTGCAAATAAACTTATTCTTTGTTGTTGCATTTAGATTGGGCACGATGCCTTGTGAATTGTACATTAAAAGCTTTGCAAAATGGAGAACAAATATATGTGCCTATGTTTATAATATACACTGTGCATATGTAATAATACTCACAGGTATTTAAGTTGCTGCCGCTCTTGGGATCAGCTTCCTTGGGAGAAGGGAGTGTATAGCATGCACTATTGGAATGTAGCTCCTTACGTTCCCCTCTAAGAGTTAAATCACATCTGGAAACTTATGAGTTTGTTTTGGCCTCTCTGTTAATGGGCCTGGTTCTTTAGCTCGGGCAGTGTTTTTTAGGTCCAGAGATTCCTACACTTGACCATGGGAAACAGGTAGCACTTGATTCCCAAGGATGACATCCTACCCACAAAACAGCCACCTGCATTACTTAAGCCCTGCACGTGTGCTGTGTGTGTGCAAACTAGGTGCAGCACAGAGGTTCAGGGTACCTGCAAATCCCTTCTATGGTGGGTAAAGGGTCTTCCTGGTGACCCTGCATAGACTGGTGGGAAGGCCAGTTTCACTTCATACTTCCCACTCTTGTACCATGCGCTTGCCCCCAGAAACCTTGGCCTTCAATGTCCCTTCTGAGATTTTGCTTTCTATTTAGCTTATGCCCCACTAACTAAAGATGGAAGAAACATGATGTTTGTCATCTTCCTCTTGTTCGTTCTGCTTACATGCCTATGTCTGTTGTGACAGGTTCTGTCTGCTCCTCTTGTCCAATACATTGTACAATGAGACCCCGTGCATAGGCACCACTATAATAATACCCTACAGGTCACCCTATGCATAGGCACCACCATAATAATTAATAATACCTTACTGGTCAGACTAAGAGAGGGCTTGCTGGATCTGTGATCAGACAAAAACCATGACCCAACACCATACACATCTGACATAAAGAGGCTGTAGCTGCATGCCAGCCTAACAAGCTGCAGAGGCAACTGCAGAGAGACTCACCAGCAGCCCCTGTCCTGGTTCTAGACTGTGGGACTATGGGGATTTCATTTCCCCAAGCCCTCCCCAAACTGAATCTACCTGCTCAGGTTTGGTACTCACTTTGAAAACTGATGCTGGCTCTGTGTATTAATTCAGCCATACTGCTTCTGCTCCTTAGAAACCTGCTGTCCCCTCTGCCAGTGGTTTATATGAATCCCTTCACTTGACAAGGATACCATTAGACTGAAGAAAACCTTGAAGAACATAATGTAGGAACAATCCTGGCCTGGCTGGAGCAGGGGTTGCAGAATGACTGAGTGGAGTCAGGGACTGTGACTTTATGCAAACAAGCCACACATGGAAATATGATGCACTTTAAATAGATTCCTACTTGCTCAGCAACCAAGTTTTATGGAATGCATATGTTAACAAAAATAGTAAGTCTTTAGTATACACTTGGCACACATGAGTTTGTCTGAGTTCTTATAACTTAGGGAAGAATGTAGGCTGCATAAGTATGATTGTATTCTAATAGGCAAAATTGGGAAAATCAAGGCATTGGCAGGGGTATGCTGATATCCTGTGATCCAGAAAATTTTTCAGTGTGTTCCTGCATTTGCATTTTCCTTCTACATTCAGAGAAGAAGGATTGATTTCTTTTTAATCATTACTGTTTTAAACAGACGTGATTTAATAGATACCATGGGCCTGATTTTTGCTTCTATATGATTTGTTCCTTGTATAGTTTGATAGTACTCAGTGGGTGCATCTACGTGAGATGCTTACTGCGGGGTAGACTAATTAGCTCTACAGTACATAGTGCATGTCTACACATGTGCCCCTATTAGGCTGGAATAAACTAATTAGCTCCACAGCAAGGTAAAGGTAGTACTGGTAAATACAAGTACTATCTTGCTGCGGAGTTTTTTACTCCACAGCAGCACACATGTAGACACTGCCCTGGCTGGCTGGGGCATGCCCACTAGACCTGCATTGAAGCACGCTTGTGACCCAGCCAGCCCCTCCACAACACACTGAGCTGGGGGAGCAGTCCCAGGCTGGCAGGCAGACCCCTGGGGCCCTCTGCCACCTGGGGCTGCTCCGACCTGGCTTAACGTGCTGCGGTCCCGGGCGCACGTGCAAACAGTGCACTCAGGAGCAATAAACTCTGCCATGATAAGCACCAGAGCTTATTGCTTCCAGTTAATTGGAGGTGTAGATCCATCCAGTGACTAATTACAGGGGAACTAAATCATTAAGTACAACCGATTCCTTCATCTCTTGCTTAATCAGGGAATCTTTGATAAAGAAATGAGACAAGTTCACTTAATACATGTATTTATGCACTATTTAAAGTTTAGTTTTGTTGGACAAAACATGTATTTCCTGTGTGTATATTTTTAAATTCTGATACTTCAAACTAGTTTTTGCACTGAATCTTTCTTTAAGCTTCTTGAACGGATTAAATAAAGCATATGGAATTTTCAATTGACTGTATCTTTTTTTGTCACGACCTTGTGAATTTATGACTCATGTAATACGCTTATTATGATTTTATTTCTTCTTTGCATTGCCATAGCTCCAGGAGTTATCAATAAGGGATCCAAGTCTTGTTATGTTAGACATTCGACATATGTATAATGTAAAGACATTAACAACGTAAAGCTTCCACTGTAAGAAGATAACAGTTGAAAGCCCTGAACCTGCAAAGACTGTTGCATACCCTCCGCTTTACATGCTAAAAGTAGTCTCTTTCTTGTAGTCAGTGTAATCGTGATTGGTAAACTTAAGCATGTACAAACATTTCTGCAAATTCAGGACCTAAGTGAGTCTAACTCCAAGTTTGCTCCTGCTCTGAGTTTACCTGTATCTATACGCTAAAGCACCCTATTTTTCTCAAAATTTACACTTATCTAACAACAGCATCCTCTGAATTCCTGTTAGGAATGTTAGAAATGAAACTGTATTTTAAACATAAATTATATCCAGGAATGGGTTGATCAAGGACTTGGCTGTTGTTGTTTTATTCAAACTGGTGGATTGTATAGGACTGTTTGTTACTCTTGAGAGAGAACCATTATACTAGCAATCAGGAAATTGAGTGAAGCCTGAATCTTTGTAGGATAGCTATATATAGAAGAAGGACATAGCTATAAAGTAACTGCTACTGATGAGAATAAAAAGTGGATGCACAGAACATGCCGGACATATTTAATATCCTCCACCATTATGTGTACAATGCCTTTGACTTCGGCACCCAGATATATTGACCTGTTCAGTCAGTGGCAAGACTTCAATATCAAGATTACTCTACTTCAAGGTCTAATATTTTGCTTGCCTTGGCTTTGATCAATATTAACCTCCTGGGTCAATAAATCTTGATACTAGCCTCAAGAGAAGTCATTATCTTTCATAGAAAATGATTATTTCTCAGTTAAACCCTACATTTAATTTTCCTGTAATCCATCTCTTTCAGCCTCACACAGTTAACAATTCCCCTTCTGAACAAAATGCACTCTAAAGTATCTTAGACATTGCAGATTTTAAATTTCTCATTAGCAGTAACTACAAGATTTTCAATTCTTTGATCTATTTAGACTCTACTATTGTAACAGTCTCATTCTGTTGCATCAAGCGTACAATAAAAATAGAGATGGAAAACTCTTTGGGTCAGATTCAGAGAAGACTATAGACTGGTGTAGCCTACGTGCCCAGGAGTAGAAACGGCGGGGGGAGGTAGGGAGTAGCAGGATAAACAGCTAACAGGAGGGTGCAGGATAAATCAATGGGTAAGTCTTGTGTTACTTTGTGTTACTTTGGTCTGTTGAATGTTTATAGTGCATCAGCCAAGAAAAAATATTGCAAAAAATGTATTGTGAAAAATTGCAAACTGCTCTGTCAAAACATGGATCTAGCAAAATATAAAAATGTATCCCAAACCTGGAGGATTTTTACTCATCTTTGTTTCAGAGATGCTTAAATTTCCGTGTTAAAAAAAACAACTGGAAATACATATAATGAATCTTCAACTGGGATGAGACTCTGGCCCCTACTAGCCCTATCGCAGTGAGTTAAGACTCCCAATGATGTACGTTTTACTTGTTTAAGTTGCTTTGGTGCCTTTTAAATCTCATCCCCAATCACGAGCACGAGGTACACTGCTGAATCAGTTATATTGGCGGTTTCAGAAGCAAGTCAGACACAAAAATCAGTCTCTTTCTTGGAAAAAAATGTATGAAATTTACCTCTATGTCACTTTAGCCCTCAAAATACACTGCAAGACCCCTGAGCGTGTTTGAACTTAGCATAATGTTAATAGGCTTTTTTCCTGTTCTTTGGGCTGTCTATATTGACACAATAATGGTGGTATAATACTAATGCAGAAGAAGGATTCATGGCTCGGGTTCCTTAGATGCTGAACCTTTCTTAGTTATGCCATTCCCTATTCTTTGGTTTGGTCTCTTTTCCGTTGCTTTACTTTTTGGCTATAGTTGAATCTTATTTCATTACCAGATATCTGCTCTAAGGGGAGTGGCGGTGGTTGTTTTATAAGTGTGTGCTTTTCATTTGATGGAGGCAGCCAGCCAGCCACGTCCTACCATATTGAGCATCCCTAACAAAAGTACTGTTCAGCAGACGGTGATGGTGGCTGAATCCGGGTCTCTCTTCACAGAGGAATTTGTCATTTGCTTATTATAGCTACAGGTCATGTTCTCGTTGCTGTAATATCTGGGCATCAGTGAAGTCCGGAGGAAATGAGCAAAGAAATAGAGCCAACCTCTGGATTTTAACTGACTTTGGTTAAGTTTGTAGTAAAAAAATCAAAGAAATCGGCTCCAATCTCTGGATTTTCACCTATATCAATGAAGCTGGGAGTAAAAAAAATCAAATAAACCTATTCCAAGCTCTGGATTTTCACTGACCTCAGTGAAGTTTGGGGTAAATGATGAAAGAAATCGATTTCAATCTCTGGATTTTCACTGACATCAGGAAAGTCTGGAGCAATTGAGCAAAGAGAGAGAGTCCAATCCCTGGATTTTCCCTGACTTCAGTGAAGTTTGGAGTAAAAAAAATCAAAGAAAATCGGCTCCAATGTCTCGATTTTCACCCCTATCAATGAAGCCGGGAGTAAAAAAAAATCAAAGAAATCGGTTCCAAACTTTGGGTTTTCACTCACATCGATGAAGTCTGGAGGAAAAAAAAAAAAGGAAGAAATCGGC